GAATTGTTTAAGCATCGCATGAATAACACTGTTCTGCCTTTTGACTTCTGTTTTCTTGGATAGGAAATTCTAGACTGTAAAGCTGAAGTTTATGTGATACCTTGGGAGGACAAAACTTACCCTACTGTCCACTGTCAATCACGGCAACAGGTATGATTCTCATTACAGTCAGCTTGGGTCAGTGTGGCTCATTCTGAAAAGTCATATTTGGGGGTTGGAAATACACCATTATTTAAATGAATTGGGAGACTGTCTTCTTAAAATGGGGAGAACTCTCGCGAATCTGTGCTGATCTCTTTATGGCTCGACACGAGCAAAGCAACCCTCTTGACTACTTGTCGCGCACTGTCAGCATCCCATTGTCAGTGTGTGCTCTCTTGGCAAAGTGCACACCCTGCTGTGGAGAGCTGACACGAGCTGTGTACCTTCAAGGCGTGCCTGCGGCGAGGCGCAGCTCTCCAGGGCCCACTGCTTATATCCAAGGAGCACTGGGGAAATGCAGATCTCAGCCCCCACTCCACGTCAACTGACTCAAAATCTGCATTTTAACATGCTCGCTATGGGACTCATACCCATGTTCAAGTTTGGGAAGCATTTGTTTGCATTGTTTTTTTAATTTGTAAAAGATCCCTGGGAGGTAAGTGAGACTTTCCCTCTTGTCAAGGATGTGATACTAAATACGACAAAGATGCTGCAGTCGTAGGGTAAATAATAACATTAGCAAGTGCACTCTCTGTCCCAGGCACTGCAGTGACAGCTTCATACATATTTTCCTCCTGACACCTCTATGAGGCAGGCGCTGTTACTCTCCTATTTACAGATGGGAGAAGTGAAGCCAGTGATGCTCGGCTTCAAATCTAGATCAAGTAAGACCCCACCCTGTTCACTATCATGCTGGTAACTGGTAGGGTCTGACTTGTGTGACTCCCAGAACCATGCTCTTTTTACCACCAAACACTGCCTCTAACCATCACATTCTCACAGGCAGTGAAATTGTAGGTAGAAATAACCCACAAGTCCATATTTTCAATGTTAACAGCCTCTTCTCACTTTTTTCTGATAAAGGTATTTGCCAAGTGTGTGCACGTATATAGTCTAACACAAACATTATACAAAGACTGCATTTCAAGCTTGTGAGCATGTCCTAATGTGCTTCAATCCAACAAACACATTGTTTGTGGATATATGCTCCCTAGACATTCAGCTCATAAAAGCCCACATAGGGCCTTTTAGGATAAAGACGGTAATTGTCCTAATAGAAACAGTGTCAATGAATAAATAATGTGTTGTGGCTTATATAGTCATAGGCTTAGAAGTTACCCTAGAGATCATGTAGTTCAACCACCCAACTTTTCCAGATGAAGAAAAAACTCTCCAGCTTAGAGTATGAAGAACAATACCCCCAAATTATAAAATCAATCAAAAGAGGAAAAAATATTCATTTTTTTATCCCCCTTGGAATATTAATATAGTATTTAAAGTCTGATAGATTTGCCCCACTGTAAATCAAGATAGCCTTGGCAAGATTCAGTCCCTTCTTTCTTCATTGATAGTATGGCTTTCACAGTAATGCATTCATCTTAATATTTCCCGTTTAGACCACGTTGATGAAAAGGCCTCCAGGGTTTTCACCTTTCCGATCAGTGCAAGTGGAGAAAACACAGGAAGGAACAACTGTAAGTCCACCCCACACTTCCATGGCTCTTGTACAAGATGAAGAGCAGGATTCAGATAAAGAACAAGGACCCACTCGTGGCCATGGCTGGGGCCATGGAAAGCAAATGAAACATAGTTTTGGCCGTGGCCTTATACATGAGCATGACCAAGGCCATGAGCACAAGAGGGGACGTGGCCTTGGCCATGGATATCAAAAGCAACATGGCTTTGTCCATGGACATCGACAGCAACATGGCCTTGGTCATGGACATCAGCGGGAACTTGACTATGACCTTGAACACAAAGGGAGACATGGCCTTGGCCAGGGACATCAAAGGGGACGTGGCCTAGCGTATGGACATAAACATAAGCATGGCCATGGCCATGGAAAACATAAAAATAAAAGAAAAGACAATAAAAAGGACAATGGCTGGAGAATAGAGCATTCGGCAAGTTCTTCTGAAGAGAGTACTACCTCTTCTGCACAGACACAAGAGAAGACAGAAGGGCCGACAACCACCCTCCCTTTCCCAGCCCAGCCAGGTATAGCAGTTACCTCGCCTGCCTTTCAGGACTCAGACCTCATTGCAACTGTGATGTCTAACATACCACCAACTCCCACAGAGGGTGATGATGATTGGATCCCTGACATCCAGATAGAAAAAAGTAGCCTCTCATTTAACCTGATTCCTGACTTCCCAGAAAAAGGATCCCCCAAATGTCCCGGACGCCCCTGGAAGCCAGTTAATGGAATGAATCCAACTGTGGAAATGAAAGAATTTCATGATTTTGATCTCTCTGATGCTTTGTATTAATTTATGCAGCCACGAGTCTTTAACATGTTACCATTCCTTCCCCCCGTTGTCTAACTATCCTGATAGAATGCACCGAGAGCCATGAGGCTTCAGAACAGTCTAGAGAGAAGGAGTGAGACTCCCAGTGGGGACACTTTCTATCTCTATGGATGACTTAAAACTGTGTGCAGAATCCTAAATCCTCTCTGGGACTTCCTCAGAAGTTTTCTTAACGAGCACAGAAAATGGACAAACTAATGTGGCTTATGGCCTAATGGCAATTTGCTTTTCTGATAATGAATGTATACCTTAAACTGTATGCCATCGATTTTCACACAAAGATTCTCGACATTCTGAATGTGGCATCTGATCCCTGCACACATGTGAAAATAAGAGAAGAGTGACTGCTGAATGTCTTAATGGGAAAAAAAACAATAATAAAAACTCCAGAGGTTAAAGATGGACAACAAGAAAGACAGAGTGGCCAAAGAGAGGGCAGGGGGGAAGTAGATAAACTGACTTTCTGTTTCCAAAACGACTAGTTACATTACTCCCACTTCATAAAGCTGTCCTGATAATTCTCTTTCTGGGTGACGGTGTTTCCTGTAACTCCATAATTTTGTTTATTCATGAAGTAGTCTTTGCAACGAGGCTTTCAAATAGGACTTTTCTGCTGAGTTTTTTGTTGTTGTTGTCCAGGCCAGATTGAGTAATCCTGACTTTTTAGCAGCTCTGAGTTTAATAATAAGGATGGACAGCAAAAGAAGTAATATAGAGGCAGCCTTGCCAAGGAAAACTTTTTTAAAATAATTGACAAGGGAATATCATAAGATGTGATGCAAATTTCATTCAGAAATTTCATGAGGAAATTTCTCTCTGGCCTCATTTTATGACCATATCATCTTTTTGCTATGACACTGAAGAGCACTGATTTTTGCAAAAGAGAATGATCTGATTTTCTCCAAGTGCCTTATAACACAAGGATAACCCTTGCTACGATTTTGCTTAGGGAAACAAGATAAGGCTTTAAACAGCTACACTTACCTGTGCGTGAATGTGTCCCTGCCACTTTGATTTATTGGGTGCATTTGAACTTCTGAGTTTTTATTTCATTTCAAATATTACCTGTACTTTTAAATAAAGAACCGATGATGTCAGGAAAAAGTCTCATCTTGTCGACTGGTGGCTTTACTTTTTATTGAATGATAGCAGATTAACAGAGTTTTACTATGCTTACAGAGGCATCTAAGGCCCTGCGAATACACAGGCCGACCTCAGGAGGCAGGGGCCGAGCCAGCATCTGGGAGTGAGGTCTCTTGACCAGTGGGCAGAATCTTCACACCCGGCACAGTAGCCCCAACAACCTCTGTCACCAGCCCTGCGTGGAAGAACGAGAAGATGGGATAAGATGTAAAGAGAAGAATGCCATTTTGCTTCTCTGTTGCTGGGTGAAATAAAGTTCAGTCTTGCAGCTCTCATTCCCGGTGAATTCCTGTGGTCTTCTTTTGGCCACACCCATCTACAGCAAAGCCCAGTAGATGGGAGAGCCAGTGCTATGGCTCTGCCATGGAAACTCATGGAAAGCTCCAGAGCGTTCTTGCTAACCAAGGCAGGAATCCCTTAGGTGAGGCTTCCCTACCAAGACCTCCCCACAGGAGTTAAATAAAGGGTTGGCAAGTCAAGTTTCTACCAGCAGACTGAGGACTCTCTCTCTCAACCTCCCCTTCTTCTTCCTCCTGATTCCCAGCCTAAACCTAGGAGTGATTTGTCTTATTATTGATTTTTATGATCCAAAAAAGAAAAAACATCTTTGGTTAATACGCTGTCTACCAACTTCTCATGATCAGAAAATACCTAACTTCAAAAAAGCTTTTGAAAAAATTTAAAATTATCTTTCTGATCTGAGTAAAGGAGGAAACAGAAAGCCAGTAGAATAAAAAGTGATGGAGGGGCACCTGGGTGGCTCAGTCAGTTAAGCATCTGACTCTTGATTTCGGCTCAGGTATGATCTCACAGTTTGTGGGATTGAGATCGAACCCTGCAATGGGCTCTGTCCTGACAGTGAGGAGCCTGCTTTGGATTCTCTCTCTTTCCCCCCTCTCTCTGCCCCTGCCCCACGCATGTGCACATGCTCTCTGTCTCAAAATATTATTTTACAAAGCAATAGAGATTTTAAATTTTCTGCACTGAATGTATTGAATGCCTATTATAGCCATTTTCTGTGCTAGACTATTTCCTTTTGGTGTGTAACTTAATCCTCACAACCATTCTGAGGTCCCCGTGATCACCTTTCTTTCACAATGAGGAAACTGTAGCTCTCAGTGCCCTGCCCAGGGTCACACAGTTAATATGTGACAGAGCTGGCATTCAAACTTGGGGCTTTTGAACTATGCTACGCCATGTTATCATGAGGCTTTATTATCAACATTGTCATTACAAAAAAAAAACACATGAAGATAATTTCAGATTGCAAGATGCTCATTATCTCAACCCCAACCCCCTTATTAACTAGCTCATCATGGCCAGTGTGGAATCAGGCAGCACAATTGGCTATTTTCTACATGCTCAGCATGAGGTCGCAAGAAGAAGAGAAATTTTGAAAGACAAATCCTTTCCCTCAAAGAGCTTACCATCACGTTGGGCAGTCAAGACTAATGCACACAGAACAGACATTTAAGCCAAGCCACAATTACTTGTGGAGCAGGGTGTGAGCCTGACTAATGCGACAGGAAGCCGTGCAGAGCTGGGGAGGCCAATGCAGAAAGAGAAAATGAAGCCCCGTTGGGAGGTTAGAGCAAGGTAAGCCATGAAGTGCCTTTTACATTTCTTGAGCTAAGATGTGCCGAAGCGTGTTTAAGACCCATTATTCGGAAGATTCTGGAGGGCCCAGATCAGAGCGAGACCGGCTGGACTCAAGGCAGTCCCCCAGGCGTGTCCAGTCCACCATGCTGTGATGGAAGAATGACCACTCGGGGCTGCCATGTAAAGCCTACTGTTCTCACTTTATTCGACAACATCAAGTAGGTCCACTTTGGGCATTTTTAAAGATAAAATAATCATGAGTTTAAAGATAATCACCCAGCACCAACCTTTGACCCTTTTTAAAATTTCTGCACCTTCCTCCCACTCTTCCTGAGCCAAAGGCACAGCCATGTTTTTGACTTCGGCTCTGAAATGGCATGGTCTTCAGCGTGGGAACTTCCTCTCGCCCAGTCCACAGTCCTCACATTGTCTAGGCCTAGTCCAATCCAAGGCCCAATCTAGGCCCAAGTCCCATCCAAGAAGGATGCCCTTGCTGGCTTTCTACCGCCTCCTCCATTTCCCGCTTCTCAGTCTGGTTCCCAAAGACTTGAGGCTGGCTGGTCTCAGCCTAGTGTGTCCTACACCCACACTCCAGTCCCTGCGCCCTGGCCTTGTGGGGAAGGCCAACCTCCCCAAGGCCCCTACGAGCAAGTGTGAGAGGATCCAGTAGACGTGATACCAACCCCCTCTTTGAAAAGTCCTGGTATCTTTCCCTAGAGTAGGTCCCTCAGAAAGCAAAATATTATCTCCACACCTTTTGTTACATTATTTTCCTTCAGCCCTCATTTTACAAGAGTTTCCATTTGAGCACCATTCTGTCTTTTGCAAAACTTTAACTGGAGGGATTGCCCCGTGCCTTCACATAGGAGACAGTATGCAACGCGGTTAAGAATCAGAGATGGCCTGTGGTTAGAGAATCAGAGAATGCAGTTAGACAGCCTACATCCAAAAGCTGCAATTTATTTAATTTCTCCAGACCCCCATTTCCTTATCTGAAATATTATGTTAATAATACACCACGTCATAGATGCGTTGTGAGGCTTAAAACAGCTCGTTCCTTTAATTGGCATAGTGCTCAGCACTTGGCAAACACTCAACAATGGGTGGCTCTCAGAGGCACCTGGCTGGCTCAGTTGGCAGAGCCTGCCACTCTTGATCTCTGGGTTGTGAGTTCGAGACCCACATTGGGTAGAAAGCTTAGTATGAAAAATAAAGAGTGGCTATTATTGCTTTATTAGGGCATACACAATATATTACTTTTAGAGTTTCACTATGGGAGGAGAATGTTTTGTCAGACAATGAGAGGGGTTGAACACAGCATACATCCCTTTCTGCGTTTGTGGCGATACTCAGGATACAAAGGTTGTAATTGCTCCTATCAAGGGGCTGGTAACATCTACTCTTTCATGTCAGATTCCGCACATTCTGAACCTCGGCTGCATGTTAGAATCACCTACGGAGCTTTGGACAATATGAATCCACATCTCCTGGAATCACTATTTTTCATAAGTTCTCCATTCATTGTAAAGCATCCAATGGTAGGAACAATTGATTTAGGCCCTCTCTCTTTTTTTAATCTTAACTATCCAGTTTTACATTGTTCCACTTTACTAACTCTTTTAAATCTTTTTTGAAAACAGGAGGCTTGTGAAACCTCCAAGAAACGGATAGACAGATGAATGGATGGGTGGACAGATGACTGTAAGTATTACGTGCACCAGGATTGCCACAATAAGGACAGAGAGTACAAGATGGGTATAAGTGGCATTTCCAAAACTTACAAACAAATTACTTACTAAGTATGAAGAATGAAGGAAAAGAATAAATCAAAAATGACAAAAAGTTTTCCAGTCTAGTGTGCCGAAGGGGATGGTAATGTCACTGACACAGGTAAGGAAATGGGGAACTGGTCTGTGGTTTCCAGTAACTCACAAGGAAATGGACTGACCCAAAAAGCACATCATTTAAGATATTTCAATAGCTGAATAAAGAGATGAAATCAACACACAAGTGGACTGGAGAACACCCACGTCCCACCTCAGATTATTTCATTTATTCTGATGTCTGTGACCCCTGACATACACACAGGGGAGTATCATTAGATACTCGTGGACTAAAGCTTGTGGAAACTGTAATCACATGACTCCTTCTAGCAAAAAGAAATAAAGGAAATAAATTATTCTCTAAAAGTAATCTTAACTTCTGTTTCTTCTAGTGAACCGGAAGCCCGTATCTAGCAAAAGACCTTTGTTACAACAGCTTTCCTATCTTTTATCTTCTCTATCTGGCGTGTGGAAATGGTATCATATTGTGGGTGTGGAAATCACACTAATTTATCATGGCTATTAAAAATAGATGAGGGGCGTCTGGGTGGCTAAGTCGGTTGAGCGTCTGACTCTTGATTTCGGCCCAGGTCATGACTTCGTGGTTTGTGGGATCAGGCCCCACACGTCCATGTCCGGGTCTGTGCTGACAGGGCGGAGCCTGCTTGGGATTCTTTCTCCCTCTCTGCCTCTCCCCCATTCAGGCACACATTCTCTCTTCCTTGCTCTTCATTTCTCTATCTCTATCTCAAAATAAATAGATAAACTTTAAAAAATCAATGAAATCGGTACACGTATCATGATGAGCACTGAGTAAGGTGTAGAAATGTTGACTCACCTGATGGTACACCTGAAACTAATATAACACTGTATGCTAACTGTACTGGAATTAAAATTTGAAAACTTAATTAGAAAACAAGATCCTGCCACTCCCACACTTAAAACTTCACAGTGGTTTTAGTTCACTACGAATAATACTAAAACCCCATATCACTGTGTCCAAGAACCCCTGTCACCACCTATTACTCATGTCTCCATCCTTATCTCAAGCCGCTCCCTTCTTCATTCACAGTGTTCTAGTGGCAAAGGTCTTCCAACAATTCTCGGAATTGAACAAGCTCTTTCACACAGTAGATCCTTTATGCTTCCTAGTCTCTTCTGACTGCATGAGTTTCTCTTGCTCTAAGCAAGGCAGCTTCCTTCCCATTCTTTAAGTCTTCAGTATAATTTCAGAGAGACTTTTCTCTGACCATCCTATTCACCAGTCCCCACACTAATTTTGTCTTTAAACACAACACCCCACACTATTTTCCCTTCAGAGCATATGTAACTATCTGTTGTTATTTTGTTTCTTTATTTCATATAACTATTTGTTAGTGTTTGATTGATTGATTTCATTGTTCGAGAAACTGTTGAGTGCCTACTATGTTGCTTTGTTCTTGGTCCGAACAACAGCAGTGCATGTCCTCATGAGCCTTACTTTCCAGCAAGAGAGATGGGAAATAAGGGAAATATAGCAGAGTAAGAGAATGCACAGTTGGGAGAAGGTTTGGGTGAGTTGGATGGGACTTTCTAAAGAAAAGATACTTATGCATAGACTTGAATGACATAAAAGAAAAGTTTGGAAGCCCTGAAGGAAAAGCAGCCCATGCCATCGACTAAGGGCTTGAGTCCTGTATATGTAATATGCCTATAAATACCAGATGGAAACATTAGTAGGTAGTTGAGGATACGTATAACACCTACGAGGAGACATGGAGAAGGTGTAGCAGTCAAGTACAGAAGCAGTGTGGTCACTGAAACTGAGTGTAACTCGCCCAAGATAACGTGTTAGTACCAGGGAGGGTTTTCAGGGAGCAATCTAGCTGCGGGTTTTTGTTTGTTTGTTGCAGAAAGGTCAGGGACCAAGTGGTGAGTACTTTCTGTGTTAATCAGAAACTTCCTTTGTATTTTGACTGCAAGTCTCTGACACTTGGAATTCTCACTAAATGGAACCACACAGTGAATTGCCAAAACCTCCCAGGATAGATGGCAAGGAATTTTTACTCTAGTAGTTATGGCTTTGCTTTCCTTCCGGAATGAGTCATATCTTTTTGCTTTCATTCTTACATTTATAAGACTCTCCAGCCTCTGACTGTGCTCAGCTTTATGCCAATCACATGGTTTTTCCTTAAGAAACTTGCCGGGCATTTAACATGGGGCATCTTTGTCTGAAAGGCACCTATTTAAACAGTTTTCTAAAATTATTGTTATTCTAAACAGGTGACAACTATTAACTGCTATTTTGTAGCTAAGGTGGTGGGGAGAGGGAGAAGAATGATATTATTAGTAAAGTTCAATGTTGGTGGTGGGGAATGGACAAAATAGTAGCTCTTGGGAAAAAATCTAAGTGCCAGCTTTTCAGGTAAACACTACTGACCGCTGGGTGGTTTAGTACCGTGTCAACTTGGCTAAGCAGGAATCCTGTTTCCAAGAAGCCCCTTCCTTATATGGCTCTAAGTTAGAGTTGCTCAAAAGAGCAATTCGTGGGTGGTGAAGGCGGAGTGAGCCACGGCTCTCTGACGCCATGGGGTGAGATGCCTGGGTGAGGACACAGGGAAGCTGGAGGGCTCCCGACTCCTTCCTCATTCTCTGCTTTGCCTGTGGCTCTCTTCCCACCACCGCCCAAGTTGACCTTCAGCCATTATAGGCCAGCAGAGCAACATCTCCAGATTTCTTCACTAACTCCCCTTCACAGGCCCTCTGTGGCTGCATGTGCTCCCCCTACGAGCCCTGATTTGTCCAACAGCGCTGCGCCCGAGGAAGCCTGATCAGTAACTTTCCTCTCCTCCTAGCCCCTCCCACAAGGGTGTAAGGTCTGATCCCTGAGACGCAACCCCTGTACCATAACTCTCATGGTGGTTCTGTCCTGATCAAACCTTGACAGAAGGTTTTTTTTTTTCTATAATCATGCATTAGGGGAACACACTCCGTGGCTTTCGAATGCAGACCCAGGCCCAGCAATGCAACTGCTTTTGAACGTCTCCTAAGACAATGAGTAAAGGCTGTTCCCACCCTAAGGAGATCAGTTTAGTGGGGGGACACAGACACCTAAGAATAGATACCAATCAGCATAAAGATGACAATGGTAGGGAGAGGTGTGCTTAGGGGAGAGAGATCCAGAAGGAAGAGTCAAGTCTGAGACTGTAAGCAAGCTGTAGGGTAAGGTCCTGTCTCATACAGCACTATAGTCCCAGGACCAAGGCATAGAGCCTTAACAGAAAATTGGGGCTCAAGAAACATTTTTTGGGCACCTGCGTAGCTCCATTGGTTAAGCATCCAACTCTCGGTTTTGGCGCAGGTCATGATCTCATGGTTTCGTGGGTTTGAGTGCTGACAGTGTGGAGCCTGCTTGGGATTCTCTCTCTCTCTCTCTCTCTCTCTCTCTCTCTGCCCTTCCTCTACTCACACTGTCTCTGTGTCTCTCAAAACAAATATATAAACTTAAAAAATTGAAAAACGAGAAACATTTTTTGATTTGCATGGAACTAAACTGAACTCTATTTGCATATGGCGCAGCATTGAGCCCAGGAAAGTGGCACTAAACAAACGGCTCATGCCTTTAGCTCACAATCTAACGCAATGATTCACAAATGTGAGCAGGCATCTGCATCGCCTGGAAAGCTTGTTAAAACCCAGATTGCCGGGGCCCATTTCCAGAGTTCTCATTCCGTAGGTCTGTGGTGGGGACCTGGGTCCCCTGAGTTTCTAACAGGTCCCGGAAGAGCCCAGGGACCATACTTTCAGAACTGCTGTTCTCAGCCTGGCTACACATTGCGATCACTTGGACAACTTTTAAAAACGTCTTGCTGGGAGCATCATCTCAGACCTGTTAAATCATGTATTAATGGCTCTGCAGTCAGGGCGCCTGAGTGGCTCCTCCGACTCTTGATTTCAACTCAGGCCATGATCTCACAGCTCGTGAGGTTGAGCCCTGAATTGGGTTCTGCGCTGATATCACCAAGCCTGCTTGAGATCCTCTTTCTTCCTCTCTCTCTGCCTCTCCCTTACTAATTCTCTCTCTTTCTTTCTCAAAATAAA